TTGTTGCAAAATCTAATGGATCAAAAATCCCTTGGAAAAGTGCTGCATGAACTTAATTTATGGACATCAATATTTATGTTCTTCCAATTTCTTTGGTTTGACTGGTTTTAGCTTATGAAACTTATATACTTCAAAATAGGTGTTGTGTTCGTATTCAATACGTATCGGACTTTGACAAATTGATCATATATGTGTTCATGTGGGAGCCAAATTTTAAAGGAGGCATACTTTAACAAACAGGTATTGCCCGGCTCTATCTAGAACCATCAAGATGCCGAATATAAAGGGTAAATGGGCCGAATTCGAGCCTCCAATGCTTCGCTCGAGCGCACAATGACCTCTTTCAGGTTTGCAGCCAGACGCAGTCCTTCGCTCGAGCGAATCCTTCTTCGCTTGAGCGAGCAACACAAAACAGCACAGAAATTACAACTCGATTACACAAGTTTGTTCGTGGAATTGACAAGACTTAGGGACCTAACAATCTCCCCCTTTGTCAATACCCAGACAAAACTTCCTAACACAATTTCCTAAACAGATGACCTAGCTAAAACGATTACAACTCAAAGCAAATGAACTAGCTAAAACTATTACAACTCAAGGCAAACCAACTATGCAACCAATCTCAAAACAAACTAGAACTAACATCTTGAAACAATAAACCAAACTTGAGGAAAACCTGGAATGAAATCTAACTTTATCAAACCTGAAATGTAACATAACAAAACAAACCATCAAGATATACAATATAAAATAAAAACATATAACGCCCAATATCCATATCAATAATAGCCACAACATATAAATATAAACGTCCAAATAGCCATCTGCAAAACAAACATGAGTACCAAATAGCCATCTGCAAAACAAACATGAGTACCCCAAAACTACTCCCCCTTTTTGTCCGGGAGTAACCCAAAAACATCAACAGGCAGATACAGCATAAAAAAAACACTATCCAAAGTAAGAACAAAAACTGTCTAAGAGAAGCATATGCCAAAAACTAAGAAGGAGAAGATGGTGGCTGCTGCAACTGAAGAAGAGAAAGAATCTGAGCAAGCATGGCACTCTGCTCATCAAGGCGGCCATCAAAAGCATCAAGACGTGTAGCCAAAAGATCAAGGCGACGTGTAACAGACTGCTCAAAGTGCTGTAGCTGGCCACGAAATGAGCGAGGACGTAGCTCAGGAAGATCAGGGGCACCTGCATTGGCGGCCTCAAACTCCTCCTCCTCGGCAAGGGGATCATCATTACCTGCACCAGAACTCCCAACCCCCGACACACTCCCCCTCACATGAGCCTGACTCTGAGAGACTGTCAATTTAGTAATGGGTTTGATAGGGTAAGCAAACTCATCATCATCAAAAGAAAGAATATCAAGGGCAGTGAGAAAACGAGTAAGCAAACACCCATAAGGAAGCCCCAAAGATTTTCTGCCCTCAGAGACCCCAATCATTTTTGAAACAATCATTTCCGGAAAGTCAATAGGTAGTCGGTGATGAATACAATACAGAACATAACCTTGGTCCTGAGTAATATGCGAGGAATGTGTGGTGACATAAAGATTCGCACACACGATGATATTCAAGAGACGGAACCGAGGGAGCAACTCATTTTGCTGAAGGAGATCCCCAGTGATCCAAGTCCGGTCAACACCACATAACTCAGACGCAACACAATTAAAATCAACACCTGACCGGGTAAGAAACGGAAAATGACAATTACTAACTTCAGGAAGACCAAGTAAAATCCGAAACACATCCCCAGTGATAACAAGTGACTTCTTCCTAACCCAAGTCTCAAAGGATGCCGGAAGTTCTTTGCGAATGGAATGGATATTGCAATAGAATTCCCGGATGAGACTCAAATTTTGTGGCCCGGAGAAATGCAACACTTGATCGCCGCCTAACGAATCAAATAAAGACCGAATGGGAAGAACCTCAAAGGCATTTGGGAGGATATTGCGCTCTAAATGTACTGTACGAGATGCAAAAGACTCCCTAAAGAAACTTAGATTTTTCTTTAGATGGGAACTTTTCAGAGTTGAAGGAAGAACGAGAAATCGTAGCTTTACGGCGCTTGGATGACTCGGCCATGACTAATACAACCCAAACAGAGCGACATAGACAAGAGCCCAGAAAGACAAGGAACATCCAATAAACAACACCAGAAAACCCCCAAAACAAAACACAAAGAGCCAGTCAAAACAAATTAGTCCAACAGGGGTTAGAAAGGCAGTGAAACTCGTAACATTAGCATAAAAGAAATGAAATGATTAGCAATGCTAAAGAGACAAATAATCAGCCACAGAGAAAACAAGATATTACAGCCATTATAGAATCGAAACATCAATGTATGAAACAATAGAGAGAAAACAGATTACAATCATATAATGGCAATATATGTATATGTAAATGAAATCCCCAATGTTAAACCCTAACAAACCCCCAATGGTAACCCCTAAGCACAATGGAGAGTGCAATAGACAAAATCACGAACCCTAGATGCAAGAGTGAGGCTCGAAAATGAGAGGGAAGAACCACAACCAACAAAAATCAAACCTAGAGTCTAACAAAGAACAACTACAACCACAACTCAACCCAAGTATTATACGAACAAAAAAAATAAAAAAACGAAGAAAAAGAAAAAAAACTTACCAGAAGCGGAGAGAGAAGATGAAGAAACAAAAAAAAAACTCCAAAATCAAGAGGGAAAATCGCAGACGATCGCAGCAAAGATAACCACGAAAAAACCCTAGGGGAGAGAGAGAGAGAGAAAAGACGAAGGGGGGGAAAGATGAACTGAATAGGCACAGATTCAGAATTTGAACCGCGAAAGGTCGCTCGAGCGAAGACTTTATCGCTCGAGCAAGAGCCAAAAATGCCCAGGCGGTCGCTCGAGCTAAGAATGAGTCGGTCGAGCCAAAAAAACATGTTCTCAGGTCTAATGCAGTGGCAAAAGCACGCTCGAGCGAGGCAATAGTGGCTCGAGCCAAGAAAGAAAAAAACAAGCCAAAATAATTTTTTTTTTTTTTTTAAATATAAAAATAACACTATACTCAAAATCAAGAGGTGAGACCTGAAACAAAAATAGATGATCATACTTAGCCAAGTGAATACTAAGATGAAATAATCCGCAATTCATGAATCTTGTGAACTTGCAATTTTTTGTAAAAAAATGACACTGGAAATCATGAGCAAAGCAGATAAAATATAATCAATGATCATAAGCTACATGAGAATGTACAACTCAAAATCCAATATGAGAGCTCACATAAAAAAGTGTGTGTGTGCAATCCATGAGAGGTCACTGAGCTAGAGTTAATCCTAGTAGTGATCGGATGGCTGGACCTCCATCAAGCATAACTCAACAATACAGTGAAAAGTCAAACCACTAGGAATCACGGGGTATTTGTTGAGTAAAGGCGGAGGCTCCCCCTCAATCAAAGAGTCCCTTTTTTTTGGGGGGGGGGCACTCACTGGTGGCTTTCACTCTCAAGAGTATGGAAACCAAACCAGAGAAGAATGAAATCATAAAGGATGGCCTAGTTGGTGCCTCTGAGGTAGCCTTTTCCTAATGCCCGGACTTCAAGGAACTGAGGGAGAAACCGTGGAAGTGAAAACAGATGGTAGATGGTTAAGAGACTCAACATCACCTATGATATGCTAGTATCGGTCAATTCCACAGTAAAAGTACAAGAAACACTGTTAGTGGTCCATAGAGAACTTTGATCACATGTGCGGAAACCCCTGCAACAATTAATCTCAAGGATGTGTACAGAATGAGATCATGAGATTAATGAGCATGGGCATTCAAAATGAGCTATGACCAATGAACAATGAGATCTTGTAAGCAACATGAGTAGTGTAAAAACAATTGGATGCAAGTAAACAGATATTAATGATAATGAGATTATCACATCCAAGCATTCATAAGGCACAAACATTTACACCTACTCAAGAAACAAGTAACACTCTAGTGATCGAACATGACACCCAAGGTCTTTCTAAGGAACTCAAACCGAAGAAGATCAAGGGGTTTTGTAAAAATATCAGCTTTTTGATGCTCAGTGGGAATATGCTCAATAACAACAAGGCCCTCTTCCACTAACTCTCGAATAAAATGATGACGAATGTCAATGTGTTTGGTGCGAGAGTGTTGGACAGGATTTTTTGAAATGTTTATGGCACTTGTGTTATCACAAAAAAAGTGAGAGTGTTCTGTTCTATCCCATAATCATGAAGTATTTGCTTCATCCACAGCATTTGTGCACAATAACTCCCTACAGCAATGTACTCAGCCTCAGCAGTCGAAAGGGAGATGGCATTTTGCTTTTTACTATGCCAGGAAACCAAATTATTCCCAAGGTAAAAACACCCCCCGGATGTACTCTTCCTATCATCAGCACACCCTGCCCAGTCGACATTAGAAAAACCAATAATTTTAGTTGTAGTATCAGTAGAAAACCAAACCCCATACCCCAATGTCTCATTAACATATTTAATGATGTGTTTGACAGCAAGTAGATGAGACTCTTTAGGGCTGGCTTAGTAACGGACACAAACACCTACACTGAAAACAATATCAGAACGACTGGCTGTGAGGTAAAGAAGACTCCCTATCATACTCCTATGCAGGGTAGGATCAACATCAGTACCAGAGGAATCTTTGGAAAGGTGAAGACTGGTGCTCATGGAAGTGTGTGCATGTTTGGCAGACTCAAGACCAAACTTTGACACAAGATTTTTGGCATACTTAGATTGAGAAACAAACATACCTGAAGGAGACTGTTTAATTTGAAAACCCAAAAAATAAGACAACTCTCCCATCATGCTCATCTCAAACTCATGTGTCATGCAATCCGAAAAATATTTCACAAGATGATCAGCAGTGGATCCAAACACAATATCATCAACATAAATCTAAGCAATAAGAATATAAGACTTAGTATGTTTCACAAATAAAGTCTTATCCACACTACCCCTTTGAAAGTCATTATCAAGTTTAAATTTAAAATGACAAATTTGTCCCTAAAATTATAATTTTTAAAATTGATATAAAGGGGCAAAATGGTAATTTAGCCGTTGATGTAACATTTTGGGGCTGTCTGGGCAGCAGCCTATATATATATATATATATATTTTTGAAAACCTATGAACAGTGTTGCTTTTGGCCTTTTTTCTCAAATGAGGCTATAATAGCCTCATTTTCGGCTTCCCAAACAGCGCCTTAAAGTTACATGGAATCTGGCTGCCAGCTCAATTAGCAGTAGCTAAAGTTGTTGCCACAGTGTGCTAAGGGTCTGGACTTGTTAGTGGGTTGTATGTACCAAGTTTGATGATTGGTGCTATTGTGGGTGCTGTATTTTGTGGTTCAATTGCTGAACTAATCAATTCAGCCATTCTAGGAAATGCTGCTATTGCCCAACTACAGGCAAATGCACTGGTAAGTGGTCATTGCATTCTACTTAAATATGCCCAAATCAGCTTATGCGCATAATAATTTGTTTGTGTCATCTTCTTGATTGATCAAAATTTTTAGTTCTTGATGTGTGTTTATACTTCTTATGTTGCTGTCTGCATCTATGCATCTGATGCTGCTGTCTGCATTGCTGGAACTGTAAATCCTGCTGGAGTTGTGCAGTTGGCTGCTACTGGCAACTGACTGGGAGTAAAAGAGAGAACAAAAAAGAAAAAGAAAAGAGAAGGAGAGGAAGAAAAGAGAGAAAAAGAAAGAAGTGACTTGTGCAATATTGTAAGAACTCTTTTAACCCTTACTTTCTCCTCTACTACCTCTTCTATCTTGTCATCTTGGTTGTGTATTTTTGTATTATGCATGTTTATGGTGAACCTTGATTGAATAGGAGTACGGCTTAACATCTTGATATGATTTTTAGCTCTGCTCTGCACAGATTCTGTGCATATGCAACAACTTGGCTGATTTTCTAAACTTTACCCAAAAATCCTTTGGCTCTGAAAGTTTTACAGGACCTCTATTAATGTGTTATTTGTATAACTGAATTTTTGTAAGATCATGGGAGGTGTTTTGGGTTTCAAAAACCTCTTGTCCTTACAGTTGGACTCTGCAGATTTCTGGGAGTAACAGCTACCCCTTACTTTGTTCTAATATAGTGATATGACCATTGTACCCTCAACTTAAATAAATATTAATAGATGAACAATAAAATAAAAATAATAACTATTCTAACAATTAACATTTACAAAATGATTTACATCTTAATCTGTTTGACAATGATCTAATTTTTTTTAATAGATTATGGGGGTGTTTGGGAAGAAAAAAAATAGCCAAATTTAGGCTAAAAATCACAAAAAGACAAAATAGGCTAAAATAGCTAATAAGACAAAATATCACATCAAACCCATAATCATTTCACTTTTTCTCTCACAAACATCACATCCAACCACAAAAAAATCTAATCATCTTCCCAAACACAAAAATTTTAGCCTACTTAAAATAGCAAAAAACTAAAATAGCCTACTAAAATAGCCACTTCCCAAACGAGGCCTCAATATTAAGAGAGTTATGACCATTTTACCAAAACAGATCAGAAACAGACCAGCCTTGCTTCCAGGAGTATTTTCACCCTCTTGCTGTGATTTTTTGGCTTCGAGTCCTCTGATAAAATATCAGTAACTTAAATGAATGAATACTTTGTCTTTGCAGATATTGAATCCAGAGTGTACACACGCTAAACGGCTAAAATGTGAGAATACCTTTTGATTTGTTGCAACTGGTCAAAGGCACTTCTCTAAGTTTTTTTCTTGTTGTAGTTATTGTTTGCGTCACTTCATTGGAAGAAGAAGTTTTAAAAAAAAAAAGCTGCCTCCATTGAAATAAAAGCGTACTCATGGAATGAGTTCCAACACATGGTTAGTTTTAAAATCTGATTAATATATTCCTAATTTCTCTGACATTAATCATTGAACACATGGTTTGAGATTCCATGGTTTATTTAATAACTGCAGAGGATAGCTCATCCTCTTTCCCAATTTGGGTTTGCAATGACCTCTTTTTTGGTTTTCCACAGGAATCAACTATTTGAGAATGTCTGACTGATGATTGTCAATAGTTTGATATTCTTCCATACTTCTGAAGTTTTTTTTTTTAATTTGTTTTTTTCTAATTTATATGCAGGCTATTAGCCTGTGAAGGAATAAATGCAGCGCAGCTTGCTCGAGATCTTAAATCTTTTGAATTAAAGGTAATTCGTTTAACTTTTACACTCTTGGTAGGTTCAAACGTTGAATACTTAAATCATTCTTTTATGTTAATTGTAGTTAGCATGAATTTTTTCTCTGCAATTCTCTTTGTGCTCTGCCTAAATGCTGCACTGGAGTTACCTTGGGTTCCTAGATTGAATATTGAATACTCTACTCTTGGTAGTATAGAAAATCTCTTTCTATTGAGCACTTGAAACCCCAATATTATAGCTTAGAAGTGGATGAGGGTTCTGTTGTTTGAATGTCCATTCTTATTTTTACAGTTTGAGTTGACCCTGGTGCAACTAGTGATGGTATTAAACTCAACCACTGCTAACCAGTCACTTAGACTACTAAATCAAAGAACAGGCAGATCTGAACATCAAGTGATCAATTAGTTAAGTGGGAGTTTGAGCGCCCATTTGTAAAAATATCTTGAGAGCAAGGGTCCCATAAAAGCATCAATATACATATATAAGTAGAGACATATATCAAGTGATTTTTTATGTATTAATCATGTGCAAAACTAATTATATCTATTTAAAAATCAGCTGAACGCATTTCAAATAATGTTTTTATTAATAGTTCATAACACTAACAAGACTTTAGGGAGAAGGGGGCCCACAATTGCATAATAAATAAAATTGGCACGTAATTACAATGATTGTTGAGTGTTCTACCATCTCTATACACTCTAGATCACATCGTACAGAGGTTTCCCACCTTTTGTGTGTGTTTGTGTTTTGTTGTGTGACCTTCAACACTTGGTTTGACTTAATCTTTGAGTTCTTGTCTAGTGGAAGGTATAATTTCTCATTCTGTCACACACCTATACTCTAGTCACACACAACGACACCATAGGAGCTCTAGATGAGCATCCCTGTTGAAGTGTTTAGGATTGTGTTTAGTGGTTGTTAGTTTTAGGTGAGTGTTTGGTATTAATCTCTCTTTTTATTTCTTGTACCTTATTTTACTTGAAGGTTGGGTCCGTTGCTTTTGCAACTTCTTTTCTTTTGTGATTTACTTGAATATTTATTTATTTTTGGTATGTGATTTACTTGAAACTGTAGTTCTTGATTTCAATTCTCGAAGTGGTTCATGTGCTGTAAAGCAAAGCATTTGAAGCAGTGATTGAGCCTCTGAATAATAAAGGTACCACATCTTTTGGTTTTTTGTTTTTTTCTTTTGTTTGAACCAACATTTGCACTATTCGTATTTGTTTTGTTTTTTTTTTTTTGAAAATAATCAGCGAAAAAAAGCCCTGTAACGGGTGTAACGGGCCGTTACGGCCGTTACGACCGCTATGTCGGCCGTAACGGCCGACACACCTGTGAATTTCAATCACACCGCAAAATCGGGGGTAACGCGTAGTGCCTACCACCGAAACCGTTACGTAACGGCCGAAACCGTTACGTAACACCGCATTTTTAAACCTTGATTTCAACTATTATAGATGTGGTGATCAAACCAGTCTGAAGTCAGATTCTAGATGTAGAATTAAGTAAATTTATGGGAGTGTGCTAGTCTTCGGTCAATGATGAGGTTGGTGAAGAGATGGGTGGTTAGCGTGTCTTAAACTAAAAAAAAAAAAAAAACACAGGATCTGTGGCAAAACACCTTAATTAGCATGCCTTAAACTTACCTGAAAAAGGGCAATAAGGAGGTGAAAATGGGAAACAGCCCCTGAACCAACGTACGGATGTCACGGCCACCTTCCCCGTGACAAATAGAACTTGTCATAACGGACGGAATGTCATTAGCACACGTAGTTTGGTAGTTAGAGCCAAAAATGCATTAAACTTAACGGAAAAACGTTAAGGGGGTGAAAATACGAATCAGCCCCCGAACCACCGTACGGATGTCACGATCACCTTCCCTGTGACGAATAGGACCTGTGATAACAAACAGAATGTAATTAGCATGTGTTGGCTGGGAGTTAGAGCCAAAAACGCCTTAAACTTAACCGAAAAAGGGCGTTAAGGGGGCGAAAATGCGAAACAGCCCCCGAATCACCATACAGATGTCACGGCCACCTTCCCCATCACAAATAGGATCTGTGATAGCAGACGGAATGTAATTAGCACACGTAGTTTGGGACTTAGAGCCGAAAATACATTAAACTTAACTGAAAAAGGGCATTAAGGGGCCGAAAATGCAAATCAACCCCCGAACCACCGTACGGATGTCACAGCCACCTTCCCCGTGGCAAATAGAATTTGTGACAATAGACGGAATGTAATTAGCATGTTTAGGTTGGGAGTTAGAGCCGGAAATGCCTTAAACTTAACCGAAAAAGAGCATTAAGGGGGCGAAAATGCGAGTCAGCCCCCGAATCACTGTACGGATGTCCGGCCACCTTCCCTGTCACAAATAGGACCTGTGACAACAGACGGAATGTAATTAGCACACGTAGTTTGGGAGTTAGGGCTGAAAATATATTAAACTTAACCGAAAAAAGGCGTTAAGGAGGCGAAAATGCGAATCAGCCCCCGGACCACCATACGGATGTCACGGCCACCTTCCCCGTCACAAATAGGACCTGTGACAACAGACGGAATGTAATTAGCACACGTAGTTTGGGAGTTAGAGCCAAACATGTATTAAACTTAACCGAAAAAGGGCGTTAAGGGGGCAAAAATGTGAATTAGCCCCCGAACCACAGCACAGATATCACGGCCACCTTTCCTGTCACAAATAAGACCTACGACAATAGACGGAATGTAATTAGCACACGTAGTTTGGGAGTTAGAGCCGAAAATGTGTTAAACTTAACCGAAAAAGGGCATTAAGGGGGCGAAAATGCAAATCAACTCCCGAACCACTGTACGGATGTCACGGCCCCCTTCCTCATCACAAATAGGACCTGTGACAACAGATAGAATATAATTAGCACATGTAGTTTGGGAGTTAGCGCCAAAAATGCATTAAACTTAATCGAAAAAGGGCGTTAAGGGGGCGAAAATGTGGATCAGCCCTCGAACCACCGTACGGATGTCACGGCCACCTTCCTCGTGACAAATAGGACCTGTGACAACAGACGGAATGTGATTAGCACGTGCAGGTTGGGAGTTAGAGCCAAAAACGTCTTAAACTTAACCGAAAAGGGGGGGAATGTGAAACAGCTTCCGAACCAGCGTACAGATGTCACAGCCACCTTCCCCGTCGTAAATAGGATCTGTGACGATAGACGGAATGTAATTAGCACGTTTAGGTTGGGAGTTAGAGCTGGAAACGCCTTAAACTTAACTGAAAAAGAGCGTTAAGGGGGCAAAAATGCAAGTCAGCCCCCGAATCACTGTACGGATGTCACGGCCACCTTCCCCGCCACAAATAGGACCTGTGACAACAGACGGAATGTAATTAGCACATGTAGTTTGGGAGTTAGAGCCAAAAATGTATTAAACTTAACCGAAAAGGGCGTTAAGGAGGTGAAAATGCGAATCAGCCCCCGGACCACCATACAGATGTCACGGCCACCTTCCTCGTCACAAATAGGACCTGTGACAACAAACGGAATGTAATTAGAACACGTAGTTTGGGAGTTAGAGCCGAAAATGTATTAAACTTAACCGAAAAATGGCGTTAAGGAGGCGAAAATACGAATCAGCCCCCGAACCACTGTACGGATGTCCCAGCCACCTTTCCCGTCACAAATAAGACCTGTGACAACAGACAGAATGTAATTAGCACACGTAGTTTGGGAGTTAGAGCCGAAAATGCATTAAACTTAACCGAAAAACACTACAGGAAATGACAGTTTTGGCGATCAAAATATTGGTCGCCAAAAGTCCCATTTTTGGTCGCTGAATCTAATTAGCGACTAAATTTTTTTGTCACCAAGTTCGTCGCCTATACCCTGTCGGCGATAGTATTGGCGACTAAACTATTATTGGTCGCCGAAAGTTAAACATTTGGCTACTAAACTTTGGTTAGTCGGGAAAGGTGATCTTTAACTATATTAGCAATGTTCATAAATGGTCGATTCATGATAACAATGGCCACTTTAGCTGTTACCTAGGCATAATTTTCCACAATGTGATTCAATAATACCACATCATCTTTGTTCATCTTGTACCTCTATTCTCCTCTTCTTCAATGTGCAAGCAACCATGTGACTATGTGAGGCAGGCTTCACTACAAATACCATTCATATGAAATCAAGCAATGAGTAACCATTCATTTAATTTATTTCGCATCTAAATCTTATCACAAAGAAGAGGAGAGCAAAGATTAGAGAAAGGGTTAATCTGCACAGAAAGGGCTGTTTATACAAGTAACACTAACCTTGTTCTTGAATGACTTTTGTTGTCACTGTCTACACTCACAATTTTATTGTCTGGAGAGGAGGGAAATTGTAGACCAGAATAGAAAATAACAAAACTATGAATACAAAATGTTATAAAAGAATAACTAAGAAAACAAAAGGTTGATGCCTAAATTTGAAAATTACTAACAAAACAAGTATGCAGAATAAGTACCAGACATGTCTTTTGCCTCCAGAGTTCGAGTCAACTTTTCTACAGTGATGTAAGTAAAATAACTGTACCAAGAAGGAATTATAGTATCCATCAACAAAATTTCATTTGGAAACTTATATACTTATAGGTACGATATTCCCCTAAAATTTATTTGATAGGTATACTTAACTTATATGCTTCACCAAATCCTAATTTATTTGCTTAGCTTAGCTTAATCAAGGTTACCTTAAGTATTTTACTAATTGTCCCATTAGCTTAATTAACCAAGCTTTAGTCCTAACCAATCATGCTTACTCATTAATCCTTATTAGCCTAAATAAACTCTAGAGCTCTCTCTCTTTTTCTATATTCTTCTCTTTTGTTTTGTAGGAAATATTGAGGTGTGTGTATGCATCACCAAGGATTAATTAGCTTAGTTAATCAATCTTAGTTATAATTAATCAAGGTTAATCTCTAATTAATCAAGGTTTAACTTAATCTTACTTAGCTTAATTAATCATGATTAAAGTTCACTAATTCTACTTAATTAGCACTAATCCTGATTAGTAAAAACAATATAGCAGCAAAATGACAAGCACATTAGTCTAAAATATTTAAGCTCCTTGATTAGTGAATAGGGAAACTCAAAATTTACTAAATTCAACCTAGAAGTCCTTCCCTAACTCTTAATACAAGACATAAGGATTTCCATGTTCAAAGCTCTATATTAACATATACTTTCAAACTCATTCTCAAGTAATTATATTCTTTGGTTTGTCTTATCAAGGTGTGTTTCTCACTTTTAATTCTTAAAGAAGTCTTAATTCAAGTAGACATATAACATAAGGCGGGGCTTAGGGTATTCAAGGATGAATAATAATATAGTTATATCATGTTACATTCTTTGGGGTGTCACATTAAGTTTAAAACTTTCCTTCAATTCTACAATCTTCCTTTCAATCCCATCTTCTCTTTTTTCTGAGTGAGAGTTTTTGCTGCTTGGTTTTCCTTTTTTTTCCTGATAGTATTGTTCATATACAATGCACTCTATTATAAATTACAATAGACGGTCACCATTTGAGGTGTAATTGTTCAACACATTTGAAAAACTTGGCTCAAATTCTTAGGCTGTTATTTTATTCCCCTGCACATTTTTCATTTAACTAATGTGTGTGCTTGTGCTTTTTTGTTTGTAATTTAATAGTTATAATGTTATCATGTTATCATTTTAATTCTTCTATTTTATTTATTTATTTATTTTTCTGTTTAAAAGTCATCACATATGCATCCCTCTTTTCTGAATTATTAGGCTCCAATTTTGGTTGTGGCTTGTAATTGTGCTAATTATCTTGAAAGGGCTCTCAAATGTATTCTAAAGTATGCTTAATATTTGTGAGCATTTTCTAGTGCTCCTGATTAATTTGCTCATATTTCAATAAATAAATTTAAGGGTAAATTAACAATATCTCCTTACAATTTGCCTAATAACATATTAGCCTCTGTTTTTTATTTAATAATTACATCTTTTACTATTGGTGAATGAGGGCTATTTCACAAGTACTTCCTACAAATTATCCCTTTCTTTCATTCCAGATCTGGTAAATTTTTAATTTCACAAGTACTTCCTACAAATTATCCCTTTCTCAACAACCAAATCAAATATAATGAGAAGCCAACACTCAAGTTGTTCAACAACTATAAAGAATCAACATTTGAGCACAAAAAAACATAAAAATGAATTCAATAACAAAAAAATTGAACATTATCACTAAACTGTAAAGTAAAGAGCCTATCTTCAAACTGCATTTCTTTAGTCAAGAAATCAACTCCGATTGTTGCCTTGTATTGATTGCTAAACTTCTTATTCACATATCTAAAAGCAAGTATTCAAGGCAAACAATACCAAATCCACAGAAATAAAAGTAAAAATATACTAAAACAAACACCGTTAAATTCAACAATTAAACTAATAAACAATCCACGAAGGATACTAATTCATCAAAGAGGTATTTCCGACCCTGCAATGCACAAACCAAACAAAACATATAATTAGATCGAGCTCCAATTGAAGAAGTGGAAGAAGAACTTGAAGAGCTTTGATTGAATCTATACAGCAAAAGATCTAAGGCATATATATACGTCTCAAAACCCTAGAATTGAAGATCGACGGAGAGAGAGGGAGGGGAGAGAAGCAGCGGAGAGGGAGAGGAAGAGAGGCGCTGAAGAGAGAGAGGGTGAAAGACATACCTGGGATAATGTTCCAATGGTGGATTGACGGAGGTACGACAGTGTGAGAGAGATCGTAGAAGGAGGAGAGGCGTGAGAGCGAGAGACAGAAAGAGAAGCAGAGAAATTGGAGCTTATTTAGCCAAAAAAGATGATGTTTTGCAAACCTACCCTTTTTTGTTTTTTTTGTTTTTTTTCCTGACTAACAGATTTGGTCGCCGAAGATAGAATTTTAACTTTTTCCCGACTGAAAAATAGTTTCGTCGCCAATTAATTTAGGAACCCTTCAAAAATTCAAAATCCTCCCTCCAAAATTTTAATTAAAATTGCTGACTAAAACATTTAGTCGGTAAAAAATTTAGTTGTTCCAAAAAAAATTTTGGTGACCAAACTTTTGGTCGCCAAAAATAAAAAGTAAATTTTTATTTTTCATTCGACGACTAAATAAGTTTAGTAGCCAAAACCAACTATATAGCGACTAAAAAATCTTTTAGTCGTCAATTGTGACATTTTTAGCGACTAAAATTTTTTTTGTCTCCAATTGGTGCATTTTTAGCGACCAAAAATTTTTTTAGTCGCCAATTGTGACATTTTTAGTGACTAAATTTTTTTTAGTCGCCAATAATCAATATACCCCGACTAAAAAAAATTAGTAGCTAAATCATGTATTTTTTCCGACTAATATAATTTTTGGTCGCCAATTCCACAACTTTTGACAACTAAATTTTTTTTAGTAGCCAAATTTTGTCGCCAAAAGTGTAATTTCCTGTAGTGAAAGAGCGTTAAAGGGGCGAAAATGCGAATTAGCCCCCGAACCACCGTACGGATGTCACGGCCACCTTTCCCGTGACATATAAGACCTGTGATAATAGACGGAATGTAATTAGCACGTGTAGGTTGGGAATTAGAGCCAAAAACGCCTTAAACTTAATTGAAAAAGGGCGTTAAGGGGGCGAAAATGCGAAACCGCTTCCGAACCAGTGTACAAATGTCACAGCTACCTTCCCCGTGGCAAATAGGACCTGTAACAATAGACGGAATGTAATTAGCACGTTTAGGTTGGGAGTTAGAGCCGAAAATGCCTTAAACTTAACCGAAAAAGGGCGTTAAGGGGGCGAAAATGCGAATCAGCCCCCGAACCACTGTACGGATGTCACGGTCACTTTCCCTGTGACAAATAGTACCTGTGACAACAGACAAAATGTAATTAGCATGTGTAGGCTGGGAGTTAAAGCCAAAAACGCCTTAAGCTTAACCGAAAAAGGACATTAAGGGAGCGATAAAGCAAAACAGTCCCGGAACCACCGTAGGGATGTCACGGCTAGCTTCCTTGTGACATATACGACTTGTGACAACAGACGGAATGTCATCAGCACACGTAATTTGGGAGTTAAAGCCGGAAACGGCTTAAACTTATTCGGAAAAAAAGAGAGTTTGACTTCCAATAAATGTTCAACATTTTCATTGTGAATGACGCCATTGTTTCATCATACACGGTGGTCATTTGGGTGGTAAACGTATTAAGAAAGCATGATATGGTTATAGAGATAACCCCGTGGATTACTCAATCATTTTACTTTGACTAGGAAAATGAGAATGAAGAAGAGTTAAAATAAATTTACCACCAAAACATTCTATTCATAAAAATTTATTTTATGAAAAGGTATGCTCCTAGAAATGGTATTATTTGTAAATTGAAATCAAGTTTGGAATAAATCTTTCATGATACATACATATGATTGTATTTCGAAAAAAGATTTTTATAGATTGTTCTACCTTAAATGCATGTTATTACAACATTTTTCCTATGTTTAAATGAATTGATATTTTGTAATGGGTGCAATTGTTTTTTTATTTTTTTGTAGATGGCTTTTGGCATGGACTTGTGGATAGTCTACATTTTTGTTTATGAAGGAAACTTGACGCTTTTGTATAATCCTGCTAACTATGTCTTCCTCTGCTTTTGTGAATAGTAGCATTACTGATACATATAACTTTTGTAATCCAACTAATAGTTGCTGGTGTGGCATATAGATCACTTTTGTAATCCAATGATGGCAAGTTGTACCACGCCAAATGGCCATATCGCATGGTAGTAAATATATTTTTTGTATATGGCGGGTTGGATTTTTGTATGGAAATATAATTTTAGTTTGGACAATAGTTGGTTTGTATGGAATATATACATTTAAAGTTATTCATTTTTGGATGGTTGGAAGTAATATGGACTATGGCATGATTGATAATTTTACGTTGTGAAATGATGGATAGTATATGTATTGTTTTGTTTATATACGTATAATAGGTTGCATGGAATATAGGCAGGTTGTGAATAAATTATAATTTTGTGATGAACCATAAGAGCATGTTTTTGGCGACTAAATTGTTAGTAGCAAAAAAAAAATCAAAAAATAGTTTTGGCTACTAAAAGTTTAGTAGCCAAAAAAAACAATCGAACATATGGCGATTAAAATATGTTGTAGCTAAAAAAATAAGCTGAAGAAATAAAAAAAAACTTTTGGCAACTAAAACTTTAGTAGTAAAAAAATGTGAGACTTTAGGCAACTAAATGTTTAGTTGCCAAAACAGAAAATGTTTAGTAGCCAAAACAGAAAATGTTTGCCGACTAAAATCTTAATAGCTAAAAACATAATTTAGGCGACTAAACCTGTAGTAGGCAAAAAAAAAAATTGACTTTAGGCGACTAAAATCTTAGTAGCCAAAACATTGTTATTTATTTTAGGCTACTAGTATATTTAGTAGCTAAAACTCTTTTCCAGGACTAAATGATTAGTCATTAAAAATAATTGAACTTTTAGTGACAAAAAAATTTGTCGCCGAAAATATAATATTTAATTTTATTTCAAACCTTTTGGCGACTAAAAATTTAGACGGCAATGTAGTACATTTGGCGACTAAAATAATTTTAGTCGCCAATGATCTTTCTCGACAATTCTTCCCCGACTAATTCTGTGACCAAATATTTCTACCGCTAAAAGCCTTCGGCGACTACATAGTGACTTTTGGCGACTAAAAATGTAGTCGTCAAAAGTGAAAATTCTTGTAGTGAGGACATTTGATAAAATTAGACTGATATAGAGAATCAATAAGGTAGAATTAGAATTACAATATGAGAGTTTTTTTGATTGACAATATGAGAAAGTTTGAGAGATTAAAGTGCGCACATAGTTTTTGTTTTTATTTTATATACATATAATAAAATTTTTGTCTGTATCCCTTGACACCGTCACCGAAGCCCAATAAGATGGCTTTCTTGGCTCTTGGATCCAACTTAGATTCTGTAACATGAAATATGCTGGACATCCAAAGATACGTAACTGATCATAATCAGTAACTGGGACTCCTGACTATACCTCCATGGGAGTCTTCCCATCTAATGCTGCAGTAGGTAGTCTGTTGACAAGATGACGAGCATAGTTCAATGCCTCGCCCCAAAATGCCTTGCTCAATCCAGACTGTGACAGCATACACCGGACTTTCTCCACCAAAGTGCGGTTCATGCGTTCGGCAACTCCATTCTGCTGCGGTGTTCTAGGAACTGTGAAATGTCTCACTATCCCTGCATTCTGGCAAACCTCAAAGAAGGGATCTGATGTATATTCTCCACCATTGTCAGATCTGAGCTTCTTGATCCGTCTGCCTGTCTGGGTCTCAATCATCTTCTTCCACGTAAGAAAGATGTCTAAGACTTCATCTTTGTGTTTCATTGTATAAATCCAAACTCTTCTAGAGAAATCATCAATGAACGACACAAAGTAGTGTTTACCTCCCAACGAATCAATCTTGGAAGGACCCCATACGTCGGTGTGGACGTAGGCTAGAATCCCTTTGGTACGGTGAATTGCAGTACCAAACTTGATTCTTGTTTGCTTGCCCAATATACAATGCTCGCAGAACTCAAGCTTCCCCGTCTTGGCGCCTTTCAACAGGCCTTGCTTTACCAACCCTTGTAAAGCCTTCTCACCGACATGCCCTAGGCGCATGTGCCAAAGTTTGGAAGTGTCTGATGCATCATCTTCTGAGTTGGAACTGGTGGAGACAGCCACTCTCCCTGTGACTGTAGAGCCATCTAGGAAATATAAATTTCCCTGTCGAGTACCCTTCATTGCAACCAATGCTTCTCGAACAACTTTAAGGACTCCGCCTTCCATGGTTACTCTGTAACCTTTGGAGTCTAAAACTCCCACTGAGATGAGATTCTTGGTTAGATCTGGTACATACCGTACATTTTCAAGAATTCTGATTGTTCCATCATGGATCTTCAGTTTAATTGTTCCAATCCCCTTTGTCTGGCAAGCTTGGTCGTTGCCCATCAGCACAACTCCTCCATCGAACTCTCGTAAGCTCGAGAACCACTGCTTGTTAGGACACATATGGAATGAACATCCGGAATCTATTATCCATTCATCCGACTGGCCATATGATGAAACTGTGAAGGCTCCTCCTTCATCATTATCTCCATCTCGTGCAATATTCACCTTCTCTTCTGCTTTATTTGGACAATCTTTTGCCCAATGCCCCTTCTGGCGACAAGCAGCACACAAGACGTCTTTGTCTGAAGGTTTCCCCCTGGATTTTGAGCGAGACTTTCCTTGCCCTGTATTTCTTCTGTTATTTGTTCTGTCTCTGACTGTTAATGCCTCGGATGTTGAGTCCCTATTTGCAGACTTATCTTTCCTTCTGAACTTATTGTTCACCAAGGCGTTTGCAACATCAATATACTTGATCTTCTCTTTTCTGTACAGTAAAGTAGTAGTGAGATGATCATACGAGTCAAGCAAGGAATTTAACAATAAAAGTGCTTTGTCTTCATCACCAACTTGATCATCCAAATTCTTCAAATCCGTAATAATTTTGTTGAAGTTATTTAGGTGTTCGTTCATCGAAATACCTTTAATGTAGTCGAAACGAAACAACCTCTTCCTTAAGTAGAGCCGGTTCTCAATGCTCTTTGTCATGAACTTATCTTCCAGCGCCTTCCAAAGCTTCTTCGCAATATCATATTCTGTAAAGGCATACTTCTCCTCTTTTGCAAGGCAAAGTCGGATGGAACTGCAGGCCAGGAGATTCACCCTCTCCCATTCTATCTCGTCCAGGTCATCTGGTTTGTCTCCCAGAGTGAAGTGCAGGTTCATTTGGACAAGCATATCCTTAACTTCGCATCTCCACATGCCGAAGTTGCTGCTTTCATCGAACTTCTCTACCTCGAACTTGGCATGGGACACCGGGGTCCAATGCTTAGAAGTGCTTGTACTGGCTGAATTACTTATGGACTCGGTTGATCTAGATTCTGCCATTTTTTAGAAACTTCAATTCAAAAAAATGACCGTACAGATGTGTCCGGAATACTCCAAATAGTTGGGAAGCACTATTGGATCGTCAAAAACGGACTCCGAATGGCTCCGATCTGGCAAAAACACTTTGGACGGGTCAGATCTACAGAATCTGGTGCGCTGAGATGCACCGGATAATTTCTCCGGTCAACGGCTGGTCAACGGCTCGGTCAACGGCGCGACCTCGGCTTGGGATAACATCGGCTAGCGTAACTCAGGCAAGGCGTAACCTAAGTTCTTACATCAAGGAACAAGACAAGTATACTACACTTAGACAAATCACAAGGCTCCAAATCGAGGCACGGATCTCACTTGCTAAGGCAAAACAAGTCACAACATACACATGCAAGCTTAACAAGTCGTAATCATACGGATGCTCATGAACATGATGAGGACATAAAGTGTGGGTTCCTACACTAGAGAGAGAGAAAGTTTGTTGAAAAATTATATTGTGGTCCAGGGACACCATGTGACTTTGCCCTTGATCAATCACAATTTACCATGTATTTTCTTATTTTTCAATCATTCAATATAAAATCATAAATTCTACATATTTCACCAATTACAACTCACTTGGGACACCATTTTTTTTCTTCTCAGACTTGGGACACCATGTCGCCGTGTCCGGACCACCAAATAACTTCTCGACTTTATTGGGAAGGATTCCTGGCAAGAAATGCCACGTGGCAGAAAGGGATCAACTGTTATGTGCCAACCAAATTGAGGTTGTGTTGTGGCTCTCCTTCGATGAATATATTCACTCTCCTCCACCATTAACCACATGTAAACAACCTTGCATTTCTTATTCTCATCGTTTTGCTTCTCTCTCTCTCTCTCTCTCTCTCTCTCTACAATTCTTGCAGGGAAGATCGAAGGTGAGAATGCCAGGACTAAGAGCCCCTTGCGATTACTCGAAAGAACCACCTCGTCATCCAATCCTGCTAATCAATTCCAAGGCAAGTTTCTCTTCTTCGATTTTGAAAAAGCTTTTTCCAAAGACACAATGAGGGCGTTTGGTGGAGATCATTTTAAATTAAAAACTGGTAATTATAAAACAGAAACTAAAATATCTCATTTGACGAGTAATTATTTTAGTTAAAAATCAAAAAATTATCATATCATTTATTCTATTTTTTTATACATTTTTTTTATAAAAAATTAAAAAATTATTAAAATAATTTATTCGCAAACCAAGTCTCCGAAAAATCAGTTTTTCTTTTACTTATTTAAGTTATTTATGTCTAATAAACTATATGATAGTATCAAACAGTTTGACACTAACTTTTATATTAAAATAAGCAATAAACTGCTTCCATAGTCCCGTCAAACACCCCCAATGAAGATTGAAATTAACTTTGTGGAGTTCACATTCCTCACTTCTTGGATTTTGGGATTTGTAAAGCTCGCTCACTCACTCACTCACTCACTCTTGTTTGCTATTATATGCATATCTATAGGAACCTTTCAATGCTGAGCCACCTCGTTCGGCCTTGATTTCCTCTTATGTAACTTCGGTGGATTTCTTCTACAAGCGAAACATGGTCCAGTCCCCATTGTTGATGACATTGAAAGGTATAATTCTGTTTTCACTTCCTTCGTTTTTGTTTTTTGTTTTTATTTTTGAAAAAAATTGCATTTTAGTGGAAATAATTCAAAATAAATGCAAAAGGTGACCTCCTTTTGCAACTTTCAATTTTAACCAAAAAAATCACTATAAATTGTCACATTATTCTCTCTATTTTTATTTTATTTTTATCTTTTTGTAAAAACCAAAAAAATTACTAAAATAATGCGTTTCTTTTTTTTGAACGAAATAATGCGTTTAAAAATTACTAAAATAATGCGTTTCTTTTTTTTGAACGAAATAATGCGTTTCTAAATTAGTGATTTTGCTTAATGATATAGTTTTAATAAAAAAATTATTCATTAAATATGTCTACTGAGAGAATTTTGTGTGAAAATAGAACGACCCCAATGGATGCATGTTATGGGGCAAGTGACAATTTTGATCTTACGTGCATTGGAACACATTATCCCACTTACTTTTCCATATTTGTACAATTATTTTGAATTTTTCTCACTGAAAGTCAATTCCTCAATAGATGCATGTTATGGGGCAAGTGACAATTTTGATCTTACCTGCACTGGAACACATTATCCCCCTTACTTTTCCATATTTGTACAATTATTTTGAATTTTTCTCACTGAAAGTCAATTCCTCTTTTTTACTTTTCATATTTAAAAATAATAATAAAAAAATATTGAAAACATCCAATGTTTTCACAAACCGTTTGGCAGAGCAGCTACAGAGTATGTATAGGTGGTGTGGTGGAAAAGCTCATAGAACTCTCTATGGCTGATATCAAGTAAGTATTTACTACTCTCATAAACACAATGTTCTTGGCTTTGAGGGAAGATTAATGCATCAGAGCACATGTTAATATCAATTTAACCTTCCATTTCCTTCAAGAAAATTCATATTTTTTTCATTTAAATTGTAGTGATCTTCATATCATGCCATGGATGTCCTTGTGAATTTATTTGAAATTGGAATTTATCTACTAGTTTATGTTACAGGAAGCTACCAAAATACAATCTGACAGCCACCTTGCAAGTAAGTTTACATACACCTACTACATACAATACAAGTCAAAGAACACATAAATGGACATAGAATGTATATGGATGTATTAGATTTTACATAATATATATTATGTGTTCAATTCTATGATTAGTTTATGTGCTCGTAGCAGAACTATTTTGACTTCTAGCATACACGTGTTTTGGCCATTGGGCTAAACCCAATTGTTGTGTGGCTACCCAATTTGAACTATTTGTTGCTTCTTTTTCATTTAAAGTTATGCAGTGTGCAGGTAATAGAAGGACTGCAATGAGCAAAGTAAGAGCAGTGAAAGGTGTTGGCTGGGATATCTCTGCCATTGGAAATGGTTTGCTTCTATTCATTCTCTTTTGTACATTTTCACTGCTTCTGTGTTTTCCAAAACATTTTGCAAAACCATATTCATTCTTGTTTTCTCTCTCTCTCTCTCTCTCTCTCTCTCTCTCTCTCTGTGTTGATATTTTATCTTCTGCACATATGTGCTTAAGCCATTTGGGGTGGAGCCAAACACGCTGATGTTCTTGAACTTGTGGGAATACCTAAATTGACGAAAACCACTCCTTTGGGTGGAAAGCACGTAGAATTTGTAAGCGTTGATATGTGCAAGGTGAAAATTTCTTAAATTCATTTAATCTTAATTATAAAGAAATTACACTGTTTGGTGGATTAATTCAATTCCAAGTAATTTGGACTATTAGGAGGAGAAAGGAGGTCCATATAAGGCATCAATTCCATTAATTCGATCAACAAATTCTGAAGCTGACGTTTTACTTGCTTACGAGATGAACGGAGAGGTAGGAAATTTTAATGCATTGTTGCTTGCGTTGCGTTTGGCAACATGGAATTCAAGCATTGGATTTGGATAGCAAATTCAAGGAAGAAATGAACTATAATATCTTCTAAGTTTCTTGAATCCTCTTGTTCTTGACTAATCTTCCTCCATATTGTTTGTTCTTATCGAAATTTGACTGGTTTACCATACTGAAGCCTCTAAATAGAGATCATGGATATCCATTTCGTGTGGTTGTCCCCGGTGTTATAGGTGCCCGCTCTGTAAAATGGTTGGATTCAATCAACATAATCGGAGAAGAATGTCAGGTTGGTTATGAAAAATGTAAAAATTAGAGTTCTCCAATAATTATGACCTTTCACTTGTAAATTAAATTATATCTTACACACTAATCTGTAACGACAATAAACAGGGTTTTTTCATGCAAAGGGACTACAAGAAGTTTCCTCCTTCGGTTAACTGGGAAAATATCGACTGGTCCACTCGAAAGCCTCAAATGGATTTTCCAGTCCAGGTTTGTTCTGTGTATTTGACAGTGGAAATTACATAGCGTTCACAAACGGAACCATTATGAGCATAATAGATGCACTGTGTTTGGATATGTGTTGGATTTGAGAAAGGATTTGAAATTGACAGATTTCAAGTACTTGGGTATTTTAAATCCTTTGTTGAATAAAAAAGATAGACCAAAACTCAAAATTGACAAAACTTCCCTGTGCTCCTCTACCCATGGTAAGATTCGACTCAAAAACTTTAAATATGCGCGTTAAGAGTCGAGGTTAAGGTGTGAGATTAGGGAGAATTTGAATTAATTATTTCAAATCCATTGAAAAGGTTGCCTACAATCCTTAGTAGATTTGAAACAATAGTTACTTGATGAACTTTTGTAACATCCTTGACTAATTTGCAGAGTGCAATTTGTTCACTGGAGGATGATAATACAGTGCAGCACAGAAAGGTTTGTAACATATTTCAAACACGGTTCCATTGGGCACAAATATTATGTAAGATTGAAAATTTTTACTTTGATCACCCAATTGTCAGTTCCACAATATAATTTACTTTGTGGACAATATATGAGAATTTGAATTAATTATTTCAAATCCATTGAAAAGGTTGCCTACAATCCTTAGTAGATTTGAAACAATAGTTACTTGCTGAACTTTTGTAACATCCTTGACTAATTTGCAGAGTGCAATTTGTTCACTGGAGGATGATAATACAGTGCATCACGGAAAGGTTTGTAACATATTTCAAACACGGTTCCATTGGGCACAAATATTATGTAAGATTGAAAATTTTTACTTTGATCACCCAATTGTCAGTTCCACAATATAATTTACTTTGTGGACAATATGGTACTCATCCTTGTCTTCATTATTGTCATGATGCAGGTCAAAGTTCATGGATATGCAATGTCTGGAGGTGGGCGCGGCATTGAAAGACTCAATGTATCATTTGATGGCGACAAGGCATGGGTGGAAGCATCCAGACACCAAAAGAGTGGAATTCCATATAATGCTATTGCTGATGATGATAAATACTGTGACAAATGGGCATGGGTGCTTTTGAAGCTCAAGGTGATGTCCTCCACAATACAGAGATTGTTGCCAAAGCTGTAAGTAATTGCTAGCTATACTTTTTTCACACAACCCACATATAAGGTATAATATCCACCCCACACGGCTGGAAAACAGACTTTTAGTGGCGTTTAAAAAACGCCGCCAATTCCTTTTGCAACGCTTAGCACCAAACGCCGAGGACACGGCTATCGTTATAGCTTTGTGGCGGTTTAAAAACGTCGTGATATTAGTATAGGCGGCGTTTTTAAAAATGCCGCCAAATGTCCTACTAAACCCACGCTGACGTCACTGACGATATTTATATCTTTTTTTAAAAATATGGCCGTTAGTAAGCAGGGTTTAAGAGGCGTTTGTAGAAACGCCGTCATATCCCTTTTTTTTTTTTTTGAAATTGTGCTAGTTTTATTCGATTGAACTAAAAAAATACCTGTAATAGCACTAATAAAATAATAACTCCCATTCAAATAGATGAAGCATTAATTCACTTTCTCATTCAATTAATATCCAATCACCATTACCCACAAAATTAACATATCCAAAAATCATGTTTTAACATTAACCACAAACTAACATATATCCAAAAATCATGTCTTAACATTAACCACAAACTAACATATATCCAAAAATCATGTCTTAACATTAACCACAAACTAACATATATCCAAAAATCATGTCTTAGCATTAAAGTTGTAGTCTTCACTGGTCTACATGCCTGCATCAGAACATAAACAGCAATCAGATTCACCAAAATAAACACAAATTGAAGAATTTGTACCCAATACTTATAAAAAGTACTTAAAACTTGAAGAAGCACTAACAAGAAGATTTTATCACATACCAAGAAGCACTAAAGAATACCTCCTGTCATGATGTTCAAGGCTTTGAATCTTTATCCTTGAATGATCAAACCTTGAATGTGTAAAAAGCCCACTCACAGAACACTTTTACAGAACCATATGAGAAAAGTGAAAGGGACAGAGTTTCAAGCCTATTCTATTCACAAAACAACGTCTGTGCTTGATGGCTATCACAGGCATATATATAGATAGGCTTGGACCAATATCCAAGTGTAACTCCTTATAACTTCCCACCATCAGGGAAGTTGTAAAGTCCCATGAAGCCACCATATGGGATAGTAAACAGACATGCGATACCCATTAGTCATTAAACCAATTAAATATGTTAGGTTTTTATTCTTGGCAATCCCGTTTGACAAAACTCCTTTCAGTTGTACTTGTTTTCACACTTTGATTTTAATGAGGTTATGATTTTATTAGATGCGAATCCAACCCAAATCGTGCTTTGCAGAGAAGTTTTGTGATGTTAATTCTTTTAAGATTGCTACTTCGCTGATTATGATGGGGATCGAGCTGTATTCAAAGTTGCCTGTTCGCTCGAGCGAAGAATGCTGAGTTTTAGAAGTTTATTCGCCTGCAAAAATAGTAGATGTTGTTTTTTCCCACTCGAGCGGAACTTTCCGCGCTCGAGTGGAGATCGTGGGACAGTTTTCTATAAATACGTGTATCAGTCCAAATCTAGGATTACTTCTCCAGATCTTCTTCTTGGGTTCTAGGGTTTATCTCTGGGGATATTTTGCTAGTTGTCTTTGATGTTTTGATTGAGTATTCAACTCATGGTTTAAAGAGTATACATCAAAGGATTATTTGTTTGTTCTACACAAAAGAGAGAGTTGTTCTTCGGTGGATTCTGAAGAATTCGAGCCTGAAGCTTTGGTGGATTCTGGAGTGGCTCATCGTCAAGACAATTCCGAGGTGGAGACGGGGTTGGAAGAGGCACATAGGGGTTGGTTCAATTCGGGCGTGGATTCGCTAGGTAATTGAGAGTATACCTGTGTAATTCCTTTATGTCTTTTTAGTGGATTGTTTTGTGGCTTTTGCCCGTGGTTTTTTATCACAATTGGAAGTGTCCAATTGTGGTTTTTCTACATAAAATAGTTGTGTCGATTTGTCTTGATTGTTTGATTGGTATTGTTATATACTGCTTAAAATTGATACATAATCACAAATGAACATCTAGGGGATTTCTAGATTTTTCAAAATATATATAATAAATATATATAATATAAATAAATAAATAAAACAAACATGTGGCATATGGGCCACTTTATGGATATTCTTACATTCTCCCACTTGGCACATATAACACATGTTGTTGACTGTCGGGTAACTAACAAACTGATGATGATCATAAAAATACCTAAACCTTAGAGGTATAATACATGAATCATAGCGGTTATACTCTATCAATTAAGTATTTCCTTCCATGTATTACATTGTATCACACTCTCAACTTTATGTGGTGTCATTCTTTATGAATAACTTCTAATAAGTTATTTTGGGTATAGCGACCCCGGTCTTTTCCCATTTGATTATTGTATCCGGACTTAGGTTCCGTAGACTCTGTCATTGTATAATTGTTGTTGTTGTCCTTTATTTTCTCATTTGGAGTTATAGGATGTGTTGGGCAGGTTTGTTTCAGGTTGGTTGGGTTTAGAAATCCAGTGTTGCTGCCTAGAATTTTGACTCTTCGCTCGAGCGAGAAGTTCTTCACTCGAGCGATCTCTTTATTTTGATCCTTCGCTCGAGCCAGGGTAGCTTCAATCGAGCGAGGGTTGCGTTTTGAGTTAGACCTGTGAGCTGAGGTTTTTGGCTTGAGCGAGCTTTTCTTCGCTCGAGCGAGTTAGTTCGTTCTTCGCTCGAGCGATAGTTCCTTAGCTCGAGCGTGTGTCTGATTGCAGACCTGTGGGTTTGAGTTCTTCGCTCGATCGAGTTTTCTTTCGCTCGAGCGAGCTTTTGGGTTGTTGGCTCGAGCAAGGCTTCCTTGGCTCGAGCGTAGCTTCTCTGTGTCTAGTCGCTCGAGCTACCAAGTCTTCGCTCGAGCGAGCCTGTCCAGTTTATATACACAGCAGCGGGTTTTGATCAGTCTTTTTCATCTTCTTTTGATTCCAAACCCTAGGTCCCACTTCTCTCTCTCCCTACTCACCTTCCTTCTTAGATTTGATCTATGTAGAGTGTATTTCTACCATAGATCCTTCATTAAAAAGATAGAGTGAGTCGAGGGCTTCCATTTAATCTGAACATTTGGCGATTTGGAGCACTTTGGTATTTGGGCACTCATCTCTGTCTTCACCATTTGGGTTATTCCTATGCGCGTGAGAGATTCGGTAGATCATCTTGCCGACCTATACATTCGGGACATAGTGAGGTTACACGGGGTTCCAGTGACGATCGTCTCAGATAGAGATCCTCGTTTTACTGCTAGGTTGTGGCAGAGTCTGCAGAGTGCCTTGGGCACTAAGTTGACCTTTAGTACGGCTTATCATCCACAGGCTCGCTCGAGCGAAGACTTGGTCGCTCGAGCGACCAGGTTGTACAGTGATCCGGACATGTGTCCGTGGATGTTCTTTACCCAAATCTTCAAAATTTTATATATAATTTTTTTTTAGGCTTAGGTGATAATTTGATATGAAAACTTTCCGCCACATATGTCAAATCTACTATAATATTATTTTTAAAATTTAAACTCTTTCATGAAAACTTTCTACCCGATATGTCAAATCTACTATTCTATTATTTTTAAAATTTGAACTCTTTCATTTGAAGAAAAAAAAAAGGCATGAAATGATCATGGGAACATCATTTTCAGGTTCAGGTGATAAACTACCTCCAAGGACTTAGCTTGGGAGGGTTTGGCTTCTGGATTTTGAAGAAGACTATCTTTAGTTAATTGTCTTTATTTATTAGTACATGTAAACATCCAAGCCTAGGGCTTTTCTTGTATTGAGTTAGAACTCATCTTTTTGTATCCAAGTGTTGGCTTGGAAAGATGTAAGCCTGTAGGGCATTTTATTCGATGTTACATGTAAAGCTTTTATTTAGTAATACTCTGATGAATGAATTAATAAATTGTTTTCTTTAAATAATGCATGTCAATGATATATATATATATAATGGGTTCATTGTGAGGGCATTACATTGGGTCCAATGATAAAGTCTATAGTACATTTTGTTCAAAAAATGTACGGTACATAAAAAATCAATGGTTAGGATTGAGCCACATCATTAAAAGTGACCTGCTAAAATCATATTTCGTCATAATTATAATCAAATTGATCATAACTTAGTTATAACCACATCTCATAACTAACACCATTTTGCTCATAACTAATATCACATATTTCATAATCATAATCACATATCTCATAACCAACACCACATTGATCATAACAAATATCACATATCTCATAACCATTGATCACATATCTCATAACTACTACCCACATAGATCATAATCACATCTCATAACCAGCCCCTTTGAGTCATAACCAATTCACATATCTTATAACCACTAGCCACATATCTTGTAACCAACACCTTTTTGTCATAACCAACATCACATATCTCATAACCACTAATCACATATCTTATAATTAACACCTTTTTGCTCATAACCACACCACTTTGATCATAACCAACATCATATATCTCATAACCATTTATCACATATCTCATAACTACATGAATCATAACCACATCTCATAACCAGCCTCTTTGAGTCATAACCAACATCACATATCTCATAACTATTAGTCACATATCTAATAACCAATATCTCATAACTCATAACCATTAATACATATAGCATAACCAAACACCCTTTGACACCACTTTGCTCATAACAATTACCCACATATCTCATAACCACTAACACATATAACATAACCAAACACCCTTTGACACGACTTTGCTCATAACCATTACCCACATATCTAATAACCACTAACACATATAGCATAACCAAACACCCTTTGACACCACTTTACTCATAATCATTACCCACAAATCTCATAACCAACAACACATATATCATAACTACTAATACCCTTTGACTTATAACTATACCACTCTGCTCATAGCCAAAATTACATATCTCATAATCACTAATCATATATCTCATTACCTTTACCCACATATGTTATAAACACATCTCATAACCAGCACCCTTTGTTTCATAATCAATATCACATATATCATAACCACTAATCATATATCTCAAAACCACTACCCACATATAGGGGTGTAAATTTGGCCCACGAGCTCGCGGCACACCCCAAGTCCACTCGTGCCCTGGGTAGGCCCAACTAGGCTCGAGACTAAACCCAACCTAAGACCCTAGGTTATGTGTTCTAGAGCCCGGCCCAACCCTGGTGTGTTATGGAGTGTGACCCATCCCGTGAGCTCGCCTTGAAATTTTCTTCCTCATCTGGCTTGACCCGACCCCAGTGGCTCCCTGCCCCCTTTGTCAGTGCAATGGTCAAAAATTTAAATCAAAACAATTTGAAAGAGTCATATAACCGTTAATTCCACCAACAATCAATTTTATGTTTTTTATTTTTATATATATAAATTAACTCCTCCCTCCCAAGTCCTATAAATACCACCCCTCTCACATTTCATTTCTCACAAACAAATCTGTCTCTCAAACTCTCATTCTCTCCGAACTCTCAACGCTCTCAATTAATTTTGAAGTGTTATCCCTAAGTGACAATTGCAATTGGTCACCTATCTCTATTTTAGATTTATTTTTAGTCATAGTATCTTCATTAAAGATAATAGAAATAATAATATACAAACGATATACTTTTTAAAATATCTATATACACTTATAGACATATATATATATATATATATAATTTAACTAAATTTTAATAAAAAATATGCTGAAAAAAATTATCTATGACGTGATTTTATTTTGTTGTACTAAATAATTTTTCTCCTAAATTTTTTTCCCAACTTTTCTTCATTTTTTTCTCCACTCAATTTTATTTCCCTTGATTTGTCCTAGTTGTGCCTGAGATCTCTCTATTTCTTAATCAGACTTCTCTATTTCGCTCAAATCATCGAACGGCCATCGTTGATAGTTCTTCCTCACTGGATTCTTCTTCTCTATACTCTTGTGTCTCTGCAATAGATCCTTGAACTAGTCACTATTCTCTCTGTCTATTTTAACACTATTCATTCTGGTGATATTTCTCTATCTAGTAAATGCATTTATTGAAACTCTAGCTCTTTTACATTAATATGTCATACATATACAAACCTTTGGCCGTAGTCACGATTTTATCAATTTGTACATATGTTATAGAACTGTTGAAAAATGAATATTACGCATTTTGTTGTACTGTTTTGCTATCTCAGCTCTCTTCATCCGTCAAACATCTCTCTCATTCCTTACTGTCACTATAGATATCTCCGATGTTCCTTATCGGAAACAACACCATCTTTGACATTATTTTCACAGGCGATAAGTTCGTTCAGTCTCTCTTTCTCATATTCCCTTTCCTTTTGCTCTGTTGATTAATCTTCTCTAACTCTCATTTGGTGTTCCATGGCTATAAGTCGTGGATTAAATTATTTAATTATTGTCATTACATTTTGTGTTTATCTGTATCATTAGAGATCCCGATTGGTCTAAAACAGAGAGAGCAGAGAGAAGAAGAGGAAGAGGAAGAGGAAGAGAAAGAGAGAAAGAGAAGAGAGGGGAAGAGGGTATGGAGAGAGAGAGAGAGAGAGAGAGGGTCGATTGCCGCCGCCTCCGTCTCCGTCTCCACCTCTGCCTCCGCTTCCGATCGTCGCAGCTTGGCCTCCGATCTCTGATCTTTGCCTCTGATCTGTGTATGAGGATGATGTGTTGAAGTTTTTTTTTTTAGATTTTTACATTTTTTTTTGTCTCTCTTTGCTATGTTGATGAAGATGTTGGGTGGTTGATGATGATGATGATTCTCTCTCTCTCTCTCTGCAACTCTCCTCTCCTTCTTCTTCTTTTTTGATTTTTCTTCTTCCTAGTTATTGAATAAAAAAAAAAAATCAAAACGACGAAACGACGTCGTTTTGAATTCGGGCCAAATTCGAGCTCGAAAATTTCGAGCTACCTAGCATAATTGTTTCTATAATTTTAAACAATTTTGTTACGCCAATTAGTGATGCAGTTATGTATTTTCTATTTTATATCACAAAACTTTGTGACTTGATTACGATATTTATAGTTTCTAAAATTTTAAATATTTTTGTTACATCAATTAATGGTGTGATTATACATTTTGTAGTTGATGAGCAAAATATTTTCTTTTTTTATTAATTTTACTTAATAAAAATAGATGAGGATTTATATTAAAAATTAATAATTTATTTTATTATAAGACTCTAAGGGCTAGTTTGGCATATTTGAAAAAAGTCAAAAAGCCAAAAAGTCACTATCCTATTTAAGTCACATCATCTTATTTAAGTCACATCACCTCTCTAACACATCACTTCAAACCCAACCCATATTTCATAAAAGTCAAAAAGTACACTTATTTAGATAATCCCAAAATGTTTTAATTTTTTTTATTAGGACTATTACATAATTTCCCCCAAATAATTTCCTCCAAAAATTTGGAACAAACCTCCAAATTTTGTGAAAATCAAAATTCCCTCCTTCCATGACAAATCCCTCAGACTCCCAAACGTCTTCAAAAATTTTCACAAAATTCCCTCCTTCCATGACAAATCCCTCAGACTCCCAAACATCTTCAAAAATTTCTCTCTCTCTCTCTCTCTCTTTCTCTCTCTCTCTCTCTCTCAGTCGTTGCCACTGCCCTTGCCACCGCTGAGACCTATTTTGCTTTCGCCGCCACATCCTCCATCACGGAGAAAAGCTCCCAAAGCTGTTGATGAAGATCTCTATCGGATCTCGCCAGAGCTCCTCCTCTCCAAGCACCGAAGAGTGAGTTTATTCCACTGCCCTTTTCATTTCCTCGTTTTAGCAAGCTACATGCCTTAATGTATGTCTCTCTCTCTCTCACTCGTTCTGCAACTTGTTTCTCTCCCTTTCTCCATCTCCATTCTATGAAACCCTAGACCGAAATCCCCTTCTTCGAAACTGCCCCTTTCACCTTTGTGAACTCACTGGGCTGGTTTATAAAATTAGGAAAATATGATTTCAATATGTTTAGGTTTTTTATGTTTGTTAGTTGTGTTGATTCCATATATATATATATATATATATACTTGAAATTTGGCTTGTGTATGAAATCTGATGTGTGGGTACTCATGTAACTGATATGAGACTAATTTTTTATTTGAAATCTGTTTATTTGATTTTCTAACAATTACTTGAAATTTTTTATGTGTGAAATTAGGAAATTTTTTATGTGTGAAATTTTCAAACAATTACTTGAAATCTTGTGTGTGAAATCTGTTTATTCATGTAACTGATATACTTGAAATTTTTTTATTTTTCTAACAATTACTCTTGTGGTGGCTTGATTTTCCTATGAGAAACAAAATTAAAGTGGTCTGGATGTATTACCTTTAGCAATTTTCTGGGAATTGTATAAACTGAGAAACGAATGGATATTTTGATGTTACTGTATAAACCCATTAAGGTTTTATAGTTCACAGGCTCACAGACAAACAATTGGATATTGTAAGTTCATGAAGATGCATTGATAATTCTTTGTCACATTTCCCTTCTAAATCCCTCCTAAAATACTAGATCCAAATACAACCTTAGTCGATCAAACAATGGATATTGTCAATAGTAGTATACCTGTAATCCCCTGGTAAGATGGGTATAACTTTCTGAATTGGCGAAGTAATAGAATCTTCAATAGCATTTCGTATCATGTCCTACATAAATAAAAACGACAGCTTCATGTTACGACACACCTAAGGATCCAAAAACCCTACATCTATAATTGTAAAGAATATATAACCCGTCCAAAGATAAGTTAGTCAGTTACACACAAGTGTGAAACAAATAATAATGAAATAAAAATATAAAATTTCTCAAACCTCAGTAGCATCAGAAATTCCGAGAATTGCTGATAATTCCCCACCTACAACTTTGAGTGTAAAGTCCATGTTTTTCTGTAGTAGAATCATAGGGGGAATTGTAGTATCAAAAATCAAGTGCATAGTAATTTTTCAAAATTTTATATAATTCTGTTTATGATGACATGATAAATATATGAATATTTGCACAAATTTGCGTGATTTATCATGAAGATGACTTCCAAAATGTTGGAAACTAGACTAATAAGTTCAAAGAGTGACAAAGATACAAAGTACCCACCTTTTCCATCAAAGAATAACAAACAGCCCCAAAATATGGAAACTCGTTAACTAGTGGTTTGAAAATTAATCTGAAAACTCCCGTGAATCCAATATTTTGACCTAGATGAAAATATATATGAAAAAATATTAAAGTGGCATCTTATGGTAAAATTCCAATAACCGAACATTCTTTACTTTATATCATGTTATCCAATTTTTTAGTCACTTATTATTCTTCAGAGAGAGTGAAAGAGAACACATTGATTATCTATAAAATAAGTATTAGAAGTACTATACACACAAAAAAATAAAAATAAATAAATAAGTAAATAAAAAGTGAAAATGAAATAAATTTCAGAGTAGTTTTGTAATAGTTTTGCCACTAGGAAAAAGTTTTATTGATATGAGAAATAAGTTGAAGATCACCTGTATAGGTAATCCAATGCTGACTCTAGTTTTAACATCAAGTATGATATTTTCCATCCCATTGCATTTTCAATTCCATCGTGATTCCCTTAGCATCGCCTTCAATAATTGGAACCCCTAAAAAGATCAACAATTTTCTATCAATACCTTAAAAAAGATTAAAAATAAAATAAAATTGATGGTCCAAATAAATTTAAATTATTTCCTTCAATTCTTGTGTCTATTCTTGAAGATGATTGGCTCTACCTTTGTCCATAATAATTCCATAAAGTGAAAAATAAAAAAAATATATATTTTTAATGATTAAAGAAACAGAAGTTGTGGAGTGAATTCTGACTTGCTAATGTG